GCTGTGTTCGCTGTCTAGGTTATTGGTTGCCGCATCACAATGAGGGCGGTGGACAACGCTGCTTAGCCAGCATGGATTCCGACTTACAGGCGTTCAGTTGTAATCCAACAGATGGTAGCTTCGTGGTATTGGCTAAACAAGTATCTGAACGAAGTGTTCCTCTCGTACTGACTTCGATTACTGTCGCAGCATCAACTTCATCAGTGGGGTAAGGCGGGTGAACACTCCGACACTTTGGGATTTCTGCGTCTCAATGATAGGAAGAGCCGACATGGAAGGATCACAAAGCAACGTTGCTATGGACACGTCGTCCATCACAAAGGTTGCCTCCCCCGCCGCGACCCCTGGGCCTTCTTTCCCCCAGGGGTCGGCGGCAGGGGGCGGCAGCCTTTAAATTCCGGCCAGGGGCCCACGGGGCCCCGCCATGGCCGTGTCTTTGCCGTAGGCATCTCTCCTCTCCGAAGGAGAGAGTGCTGACCGCCCCTCGCCGCCGACCCCACAGGAATACTGTGTTTTACAGTGTTTTCTGCTTCTTCCATTTTTCCGGCTTTGTGGTTCAAGATGGGTCAACATGGCCCAACATAGGTCCAAATAATGCTGGAAATGCGTGCCGCACCGGGGTGCTTCGTCTGCATCGTGGGCGGCTGCTGGGCCAACAACAACAACAACCACAACAACAACAACCACAACCACAACCACAACCACCACAACAACGACAACTTCTTCTTCTTCTTCACACGCTGAGGGGAGTCGAGCTCTCTCGCGCCATCAACCATTGGTTTCAATGGGATCCAGGGATCTAACATGGGACATTCATGGTGCATGGCCAGGATGACCAGGTGCTTTCAGGCCTCAAAAATCCTTGGCACATGGAACAAAAGTGGAAAACAACGCTCTCTCATTGGCAGCCGCACAGCTGCATCCGCTGCAGCCGCACAAGATGCCAGCAGCTGGTAGCGCAGCAAGCCGCCAGGCATCGGCGCATCAGCCGGCATTCGGCAGCTTAGTTGGGGGGGAATCCAAGACTCCGAGTTGCAGTGTCATCCAAGACACTTTGAAGGACATGACTCAACGCTCCTCTGCGCGGCGGAGCTTCCGGGTCCTCAACTGCGTCCGAATCAGGAGGAGGCGGTGCAGCCACCGGTGGAGTGCTTTCCTCTGAGTCGCTAGAGTCCTGAGTTTGTTTGGCCTCAGTGATGGGCAAGAGCCAAAACAAGACCGAGCGTGACAGGCACCACGGTGGCAAGTCATCAACGACCTGCGGGGTTTCGTTATCCTGGCAGAGGAGCCAGCGGGCATCAAATCGCAAGGCCGCACGAAAGTGGCCTGAGCGACTGGAACCTAAGTGACAGATCACAGCTTGGACACGGTATGGTGACCAGTGCAGGTCCACTCCTGATCCATAGAAGTGCGGGAGTTCAACCATGGAGAACACGTCGATGGGCTGAAAATGACCTAAGCAACGTGTCAAGCTCATGAGTCTGTCAGCAAAAATGCACTTGATGCATGGTGGCTTGGTGAATGCTGCTCTCATTCTCTGTCCATAGGTCCACAATTGGCACAAATCATAGATGGTGGGTGAGGCATGATCAAGCTCATACAAGCCATCAAGGGCCAACGGCTGGTATTTTCCTCCAGTCTCTTCATTCATGACCTGGTTGGCCATGGAAACCCGGCGCTCCCAGCACATGTCAACGCTGCTACAGGCACTCCACTCAAGAAGTTCCGCAGTGAATTCGGCGCAGTCTCGAGGTCCCTTTTCGTGCGTCTGTCGAAGCAGCGGTTGAAGGGCCAGTAGCTCAGAAAGCTTCACAGCCTTACCCCTCGGCTGTTGCATCAATGTCTCACAAACTGACGACGCTACCCCAAAATCTTCAAGTGCACATTCCCTCCGATGAAGGAGGGTCCACAAAAAGCATGTCATGCCTGAGTTCAGATAGCACCATGTGCTCTCATTGATGAACTTCGTGTTCATCAGGGCCTGAATCAGGTGGTGACGAGAAAAAGCTTCCGGATCCATCACCTGGAGCTCCTGGCCATGGTGGCTTCTTGCAATTCCTGCACCAGACGGCTCCGTTGTAGTCCTTGCGGCTTCAAGCGACCAGCCACCAGGAGCCATACACTGTGATGGCACAGTGAACGAAGGAGGACCATCAACTGGTCGTTCCGCATTGGCACCTGCAAGCGCCAAGGGAAGGTTTCGCCTTTGGAGTTCTGGCTGGCCATCGAGTTGAATCTGATCACATTCTCGGTCTGGTCCATGGCACTGCGCAGAGCCTTGAGTTTGTGTTCCACTTCTTGGCGGCTCAGTGGCTGAGGGTCTGTCGAAGGAATGAGCTTCTCCTGGGTGCGATCCCACATCAAATAGGGCATCGTGCCTGTTGGAAGGATCAAATTTGAATCCTGACTTGCTTGGAGGAAGGTCTCTTCCGTAAGCTTGCTGCAGAAACTCGCGAACCGTTGCATCATCTGGTCCATGACTGTCATCATCAGACAAGCTCGAAGGGGTCGTTGTGGCTCGGTCTCCTCCTTCCAACCCTTTCCGGCCTGCAGGAGATGGTGAACAATGCCTTGAGATCCGCGGTTGAGGAACAACATGAAGCTGTCCTGTGAGTGGAGGGACTGGATCGAGTCCTCGTGCCGGATCATAATTCTGGCCATGAGATTGCAAATCTGATTCAGATTGCGGTCCTTGGAGTGATGCTGGGATGTCATTTCCTCCTTCATGCCTCCTCGATGCTTCTGGCGCTTCGGTCGATGTGGAGCTTCTTCTTGATCGGGAGGTACGAGCATATTTAAGAATGCTGCCTGGAGCTGGGAGGTTCGGTCGGCTTCGGTCAGCCTGACGGTTTCCTCTTGGCGTGCCATGAGGTCCCAGTTGAGCCAAGACGAGACTCAGGTTCAGAATCGTCGGACACTTGTGGGAGACCAGCGCCCAGGCTGTGTTGTCAGCCACCTGTTATTTCTGGGATTCTCCACACAGCAGGCACGGAATGCCAAAGCCTTGAGCCTTCACATTGAGGCCCACATACATCAGCAGGTGCATGATCTTGCCAGTCAACTCACCATGTTGATTGGTCAGGTGGTCCAGCGATGCAAGTGGGTTGTCAAGTACACGATTGCACACGGAGCAGCAGTGGCTGAGGGCCCTGCACGTGTGTCGGTCCAACCAGATCTGGTCGAAGGTGCGTGACGAGATCCACGTAGCCAAGGATGGGGCCTGTGCCAACAAGTGCGGGTTGTTGGATAGGAGATTGATGACAGCTTGTTGAGTCGTCTCCCATGGAACCAAGATCTGAAGGTGGCCTGGATTGAGGATGTGATGCATCATTGCTATTTGTTGATGTGCCATGCATCTGTGACTCCGGCGTTGTTGTCCAGTGGCTGGATTACAACTGCACTCAGGATGAGTTTCTTCTATCATAGCTGTATAGTGCTCCGAGGCCTTGTGGAAAGGTCCATGCTGCGCCAAGATGTGTCGCATCAAGTCAGCAGCTCTCTTCAGGCCTTGGCCGCACAGAGTACAGGTGGTGGTAAGCAACATTTTGTTGTTGACCCCTTCAATGAAGCTCTTCCACGTTCCCCAAAGCAACGAGTCTAGGAAGGCCTCTTCTTTGCGAAGTACACCCTGCTGGTCTGCCATGTAGTCAATGCAGTTGCATGATCCCCTGTTTATATGGCGTTGCAACTCCCGATTTCCTTGAAGTCTGTTCCACAGTGCTTGCATTGTGGGTTGCCCCGAACGGTGTCACGGATGCAACTATATCTCAGATGCTCTGTCCTCAAGTGCTCATTGAGGAGATCTTCGGTGGAAAAGATCTGAGCACAGTGCAGGCAAATGGTAGCGGAGCGGCCAGGTGTGACCATGTCCTGAGCAGCAAACAATGAGGCAAGCTGAAACAGGGTATTACATTGGTGACTATGCTTAAATGCAATCTGGCAGTATGGACATGGAGAGATACGAACAGCTGCAATCCAAGGTTGGTATATCTTATGAGTACATGACAACGAAATTTCAGGATGCTCACTAGCCATGTGTTGTTGACCGGTGCGTGCACATTTGTTAAAACGACCACAGTGTATACAGTGCTTAGCTAGCCAACTTAGCCAATGAGGATGATGAAGTAGTTCGTCAGACACTGAGGGCAGGGACACTGCTTTGAAGTGACGTTGAATTTCAACCAAAAGAGCTTCACCTTGCGCGCCAACCGAATATGCTGGGCAATATCCATGTGTGACATGACTCTTCAGCTTAGTCCAGCTCTGAAATGTTGCTTCACAATGAACACACTGCGGTGGTCCAGTGGCGGCGTCACTGGCGTACCTGAACGAGTGTGGTGTGCGGTGCATGACATGGTGTGTTCCTTGCAAGTGCTTGGTCAATTGCGCTGCATGAGGAAACGTGAGGTCACACAAATGACAGGGAAAAGGAGCTGGGCTCAGCCACCTGTCAGGACTATCCATGGTGAGCATGTGATCTAAAATCATTCTAGGTCCTTGATACTCAACTGTGTGCAAAATGTCATCCAAACTGCAGCTGATGGCTCTGAGGTCTTGGCGTCGGATCAAGGCAAGGCATCTAATGTATGCCAATGGATGTTCAAGCTGGTGCGCAAGAAAGAACTCTTGATGACTCTGACCAGTGTTGTATGAATGATTGGCCAAAATCATGCGCTGCATCAATGTAAGTGTGGAGTTCAGCTTGATGAGCCCTGATTTCGTCACACCAACTATCAATGTCCCATAGGTCAATGTTGATTGAACAACTGCACGCCATATGGCCAACCTGTAGCGTGATGTCAGACCTCTTTTCCGGCGCAGCCAAAAAGTCAGGCGTTTGTATGCCATCTGACCAGCTGCCAATCGTCTTTGGAGCGTGTCTTGTTGAAGATTGCCGTAGGACAATTGAACTCCCAGATACCCACATTTGGAAGTCAGCCTGATCAAGGTCGTAGTGGACCGCCGGGGGATTGTCAGGAAATGTCCAGTGGCTGTCCTCTGCACGCATTGGCTTTGCAGCAGATTCTGATTTCGACCATGAATGGTGAGCACAGCCTCCGTCTTGGTTAAGTTGATTCTCATTCCAGCATCGTCCAACAGGTCCAGTAGTGCTCCCATTCGTCTCAAATGCTGTTGACATTCGTCCACGCTGGTGAATTGACCCTGTGCTAATATATCATCCGCAAACAGGGTAACGGCGTCGTACACCCATTCTTCACCCGTGATTCGAGCAAGGTTTTGGAGTTGCTGAACAGTAAAACAAGTCCACAAAAAGGGCGCAGCCACACATCCCTGTCGAATACCTAAGGAAACGGGAATGGAGGCAGTTTGGAATTTGTGGGTGATGTGATAGCATGTTCCCTCGTGCCAAGCTCGAAGAAGGGTGCATTGAGGTGAATGTACGCCGAGGTTCTCCAAACCAGAGAAGAGTTCTGCACGCGGCACGGTGTCAAAGGCCTGCTTAAGGTCTATGCTAAGCGTGACCCCTCCATAAACCTTGGGTGGCGACATGTCAACAACAAAACGTTTCTTCATGGAGATGACTTGGTTACAGTGTTGGACAGCTCTGGCAATGGCATCTTCACATCCTCTTCCCTGCATATATGCAAACTGAGGAAAAGGGGCAATCTTTGGCATGGCCTGCTGACGTGCTTGCATGCTAACAATGCTAAGTACCGCTTTGCCTAACCCCTCCTGCAAGGCCGGTGGCCTCAAGTTATTGGGCTTATCCGGCTTTTTTGAAGGTTTGGGCAGCAGAAACAACCAACCATCCCGCCACTCTTGAGGAATGTGAGGGGGAGTCATGTTCCACCACTTTTGCAACAATGGCATGAGGTGGCTTGCAATGACCTGAGCCGTGCTATTAAGGGAAAAACCCGGACTCTTGTGAGGGGCCATGGATTTCATGCCCTTCATCCTCCGTACTGCCTGAACTAAATCACTCTCACTGAAGGGAACACCTGGTGCCGGGGCGCAGCAGGGTTCCAGTGGCGTGCCATGCCAAGTTCCAGAAACATACTGACAAAGCATTTGAAAGGATTCAGTGGGTCCAAGAAGCTGGCCGGTATCGGATCTCAACTGGAGCTTTTCCGGTTTGGCCTTGGGAGTGAGTCTATTGATTGCGTGATATAGTTGGCTCATATCATTCTGTCTTGCAGCGGCCTCAGCAGAGTCAAGCAGGAACTGCAACCGTTCAGCCTTCCGATGTCGCAAGGCCTCCGCATGCCGTTGGTTCCATTGATGGTGCAGGTGAGTCAATTTCCACGCCTCAAAACACTGCCTTAATCCTCTTCCGGAGAGGGCCTGAATGGAGCGTCGAATGGCCCACTTGGTTGTGACCGTCTGTTCACTAGGGTTGGATGGAACAGAAACAGCCGGAGAAAAATGAGCCTTGAAGATACTGGTGAGGCCACGATGAATGTGCATTACAAGGCCATGTGGTTTCCTCCAAAAAGGCGTTTGAGGCTATGCAAAAATCACGCCAAACTGATGTGTGGAGTCGACGGGCTTGTCGACACAGCTCCTTGGCGGCATACCCAACAGTCGAGAGAGTACAGCCCTGAGCAGTCGTCCACCTGAGCGGGATACTGCCGATCACAGGAAAATGTCCTTGTGTGGTGAGTGGCAATGGTGGCCAGGTCCTAAGGGGGGTACTTTGTCGAGCAAGCGAATCAGCCTGGCGGGATTTCGTGCATATGAAATCAATCCTGGATCCATGGTTGAGGGAGGAGAAAAACGTAGCAGCTGATGGACTCTGCCATGTATTGAGTGCAACAATACCGTGATGCTGCATGAGGGCCTGCAGTTCTCCCGAATCAGCATGGGGTGTGCCCAAGTGATAGCTTCCGTCAGGATTGTGGAAGCCCGCAGTGCCTACAGTGAGTCGGTCAGCATTCATGCTAGTGTTAAAGTCGCCAGCCAGGATTAATTGATTACGACTAGGGAAGGAACTAAGGGTGGAATCCAAAAGTTGAAACCATTGTTTCCGAGCTGCACGAGTGATTTGAGTGGCACGATATGCATGTTGGTAGGCACATACGACATCCAGGGAGCGTTCCTGAAGAAACAGTCGGATGTGCAGGAGTCTGCCTGCCTGGACCTCTGTCCAGCCTATATTATCACTATGGCACATGGTCGAACGAATGCATGTGACGATGCCGCATGAACGGTATGGTTGACCTGATGAGGATATACAGGTCCAACCCTGTTGAGCCCAGGTTCGAGAGCCTTGCCACCGGGTTTCGGTGAGTACCACAATGTGGATCCGCTGGGGGTTGGCCCACTGGAGGACTTCTTGGAGAGCAGCATTGGTCAGGCCGCTGCAGTTCCAAGTCAAGATACCACATCTGCTCCTAAGCCGGCGGGGTTCGACCGTCTGCCAGTGATTCACTGGCATCGAGCGCGACTCTGACTTGGGTCGTGATGCAGGCTTGGGGTGGATAAGGCATTGCTTACATCCTAACGATTGCGGAGTGACCAGACGTCCGCGATACCAGGTGTAACCCCACTGGATGGCTCTCTTTTGGGCTCGTCGAAGGCTTCTCTTTTTATTGCTAGACCCCTTATCGATCAGGAAATTGGCAGATGTCGGGTCATGTATGTTCGTGGCTCGACTTGCAACATGTCTTTGAACATAGGTCAAAGCCACTTCAGTGGATCCCATGACAGACCCACAACCCTCGCTTCTGTTGGACACGAAGGAAAACAAGAAGGTGCTGTATATGTCCAACCGGCGGACTTGGGACCACCGACCACCAAGAAGCACAAGATACCAGAACACGATGAGCAGGCGCGGCATCAGCCGCAGGCAAATCGACTGGTCGTGGTCGATCACAACGCGGCAGCGCATCCGCCCATGACGAGCGAGGAAGCACAGCCCGCGATGGGCAATCCTTGGTGCCCTTGAGTGGTAGAAGCTTACGGTATCGCTTTTTAAATATACGATTTTTAAAACAGGTAAACAGGTATTTTAGACTACCTCCGGCAAGGTTTTTGCCAGCCCGGCCCGACCCTTTAAACATCCGGCATGAATATACGGTACGATTTAAATATACGGTCAGCTTACATATGTGCGGCGGCATTTATTTGGTACTGAGCTCAAACGCGCAATCTATTATGTGGAGGCCCTATCTCGTTTCGACTACTTAAGTAGAAGGTCATGTAATGTTAGAGTATCTCGCTCAGACTACTTTAGTCTTGGTAGTCCCGGTGGTCTTGGTGGTGATTGTGGCAATCTACTCTTGGTGGTCTTGGGGGCTGGTGGCCTTGGTGGTCTTGGGGGTCTCCGTGGTCTTGGTAGTCTTGGTGGTGATTGTGGCGGTCTAGGCGGTGTTGGTGGTGGTCGGTGGCCTGGGTGGTCTGGTCTTGGTGTCTTGGTGGTCAGCGGTCTTGGTGGTCCAGGGGGTCTTGGTGGTGATTGTGGCAGTCTACTCTTGGTGGTCTTGGGGGCGCTGGTGGCCTTGGTGGTCTTGGTGGTCCGGTCTTGGTGGTCTCTGTGGTCTTGGTGGTGATTGCGGCGGTCTAGGCGGTGTTGGTGGTGCTCGGTGGCCTTGGTGTCCTGAGGCAGTCTACTCTTGGTGGTCTTGGTGGTCTTGGTGGTCCGGTCTTGGTGGTCTCCGAGGTCTTGGTAGTCTTGGTGGTGATTCTGGCGGTCTAGGCGGTGTTGGTGGTGCTCGGTGGCCTTGGTGGTCCGGTCTTGGTTCTGTAGGTGCCAAAAACTGCCTCGTTACAACATGGCCTCTCTGTAAGGGCCTCAATCCCTTTTCGTAAAAGAAATGTCAACAGGGATTACATTTTAAATATACGGGGGGAACAATAATTTTATACTACCTCCGGGGCCGATTGCTCTGGCCCGGCCAGACCCTTTAAATATATGGTGGGAACAGGTATTTTATACTACCTCCGGAGCCGATTGCTCTGGCCAGGCCACCATATATTTAAAAAGCGTTACCGTAACAACAACAACAACAACAAGAACACTACCACGACTGCAACAAGCCCTTTGCTTGGGCCCCTGGCCGGCTGTCGGGCGTAAGCCCTTAAATCGACACCGCTTGGATGAGGGCCTCTTGGGCTCTCCTAGTTTGTTCGTGTTTGGTCCATTTCTGGGACCCCTTCATCTTGTTTCGGAATGATGGATTGTGATTAAATTTCTCAGGCTATTTTGGAGATGTTGTTTCCCTAAGGTGTGATGTAGCTTGCCTGAAAAAACACCAGCCAGACACCACAGTCCAAGGTCCCAACTCCATGTGCATAGGTCACGCTTGAAACTCGCGGCGCCTGGGCGATGTTTGAACAAAATAGAAGAGCTAAAATTCCTGCAACAGGTTGTTTAGAGTCATAGTCTATGCTGGGCCTGAACATCTGGCATTCTCCGAAATCCTGCTGACTGTTGAAAGCCTTTCCAGAGCTGCAAACGGAATCAAACCAAGACCTTTTTGCAGGACATTCACATCATATGCCCAGCCGGAGGGCTTCAAAGCAAGGGGAAGGGGCATTGCTATGCACAAAGTTCATCTCTCCAAATCTCACTTCTTCAGCTTCTGACCACCGCGGAGCAGACCTGTGCGCCTTGCTGCAATGAGACCCACCTTCTGTCCAGGCACAGCTGAGCGTGCGACAGTGGTTGGGTGGCCCACGTGCTGGTGATTTCCTCCTCCGTGAGGGTGCTCCACAGGGTTCATGGCAGAACCACGCACCTTTGGCCAGCTGTTTCGCTTCACGCGGAACTTGTGGTGGTTGTTGCCAGCCTTCAGCACTGGCTTGTCCATGCGTCCGCCACCAGCCACAATGCCAACGATGGCACGGCATGTGGAAGGCAAGCTCTTGCGGCTGCCAGACGGCAA